CCCAGTTGGGTATCGTGAAAACGTGTCCATGCTCCACATGTCTATATCCCTTTCCGGGTTCGTGGGTCCATCATGTTTTTCCCCGGAAAGGGCCTGGGCCCAGGGTTCTCTTTTAGATGGTTCCCCCCGGTTTTTACTTGAAGGGGGCCGGCGAATTTCTTGTGCGATAAATTACGAGGTCGAAGGGGGCCGGCGAATTAAAATTGTGAGGACGAAGGCCATTTTTCGCCACCCCTCACGCAGATCGTGCTCTTGGAATTTTACTGCCTTTAAGGAAACCTCGATATTTCACAGGTGAAGTCCACTTTTTTCCGACATCGACTTTAAACGATAAAAAACTAAGTAAACGCGTTCGCTCGATAAATAACGAGGTACCGCGGCCTCCGGAACGGCGCTGGGAACGAAGTTTTTGATTCTTGAAGTTACATAAGTGCGGAAATAGCAAAATCCCCTGTGTTTTTGGACCCTGACCCCGCGGATCTGCGTGAGGGGTGGCACCGAATTTCAGAAATGTGGCAAATCCCATGTGTTTTTGGACCCTGACCCCGCGGATCTGCGTGAGGGGTGGCACCGAATTTCAGAAATGTGGCAAATCCCCTGTGTTTTTGGACCCTGACCCCGCGGATCTGCGTGAGGGGTGGCACCGAATTTCAGAAATGTGGCAAATCCCATGTGTTTTTGGACCCTGACCCCGCGGATCTGCGTGAGGGGTGGCACCGAATTTCAGAAATGTGGCAAATCCCATGTGTTTTTGGACCCTGACCCCGCGGATCTGCGTGAGGGGTGGCACCGAATTTCAGAAATGTGGCAAATCCCCTGTGTTTTTGGACCCTGACCCCGCGGATCTGCGTGAGGGGTGGCACCGAATTTTAGAAATGTGGCAAATCCCCTGTGTTTTTGGACCCTGACCCCGCGGATCTGCGTGAGGGGTGGCACCGAATTTCAGAAATGTGGCAAGTCCCATGTGTTTTCGGACCTTGACTTCGCCCAGGAGGGCCCAGGAGGCTCCAGGAGAGCCCAGGAGAGCCCAGGAGGGCCCAGGAGAGCCCAGGAGGGCCCAGGAGGACCCAGGAGGCTCCAAGAGGCACCAGGGGGCCCAAGGAGGGCCCAGGAGAAGCTCCAGGAGGCTCCAGGAGAGCCCAGGAGGGCCCAAGGGGTCCAAGGAAGACCAAGGAGGGCCCAGGAGCCCTTACGAGGGATCGTGGCCCTGGGAGCGCTGACGTAGCGTAATTTACGAGGGATCGTGGCCCTGGGAGCGCGGGTATAGTGTAATTTTGGATTTTGGCAGGATGTCTCGAGCGAAACGCTTGTTTTCATAATTTGTTGAGGATGTCTCGAGCGAAGCGCTGGTTTTGCAAAGTTGGGGGCTGTCTCGAGCGGGGGCCTCGTGTGGGGCTAGAATTCAGAGGATGTCTCAGGCGAAATGCTTGTTTTCATGTCCCGCTCGCAAGAATTCCGAGGAAGTCTCGACTAATTCGTTTGTTTTGCCGGGATTTCATTGAATGTTGGCAGGATGTCTCGAGCGAAATGTTGGTTCTGCAAAATTGGGGGATGTCTCGAGCGGGGGCCTCGTAGGGGGCCAGAATCCAGGAGATGTCTCAAGCGAAATGCTTGTTTTCACGTCCCGCTAGCAGGAATTTCGAAGATGTCTCGCGCGTGCCGCGTCCCGCGCGTAGGGATTCTGAGGATTTTGACAGGATGTCTCGAGCGAAACGCTTGTCCCCAGTTCCGTAGCGCGTCCCCTTGGCACGTCCCGCGGTGCGTCCCCATGGCACGTCCCTTGGCACGTCGCTTGGCGCGTCCCTTGAGACGTTCCGCGTCGCGTCCTCCTGGCATGTCCCCCTGGCAATTAGCTCTGGGGCAGCTACTATGTGTTCAGGCAGCTCGAGCTTAAGATCCAGATCAGTTCGGTCAGGATTCGGATGCAAAGGAGGACTCGATCCACGAGGCTATAGAGCACAATCGCGGCATGGCACATCGCAATTCAGCACGGCGCAGCACAGCACAGATTTCGGCTCGGTACATCAAGATCGATACACTCAGCATTGCAACTTGGCACGTTCCTTGGCACGTTCCGTGGGGCGTCCCTTGGCGAGTCCCCCTGGCACGTCGCGTGGCGCGTCCCCTGGCACATCCCGTGGCACATCCATTGGCACGTTCCGTAGCGCGTCCCCTTGGCACGTCCCGCGGTGCGACCCCATGACACGTCCCCTGGCACGTCGCCTGGCGCATCCCTTGGGACGTTTCGCGGCGCGTCCTCCTGGCATGTTCCCCTGTCCATTAGTTCTGGGGCAGCTACTGTTCTGGCAGCTCGAGCTTAAGTTTCAGATCAGTTCGGTCAGGACTCGGATGCAAAGGAGGACTCGATCCACGACGCTATAGAGCACAATCGCGCCATGGCACATCGCAATTCAGCACGGTGCAGCACGGCACAGCCCTCGGCAGGGTACATCAAGATCGATATTTTCAGCATTGCATTTGCCCGTCACCCAATCAGGTGTCTTTGAAAACGCTGCCGTGTGTTACAGTTCTATATTCCTTTCCGGGTTCGTGGGTCGATCATGTTGAACAATTTTGGCGTTTCCGCCTGTTCCGCTTCCCGAAGCTGCAAGACGCCCCAAGAGGCCCCGAGGATCGCCCAAGACGGGCAATAGGCTTCCGAAGCGCTGCAAGACGGCCCTCCGAAACGGCCGAAGAGACGTCCAAGACGGCCCGAGAGTGCCAAAACCGCGGCCCAGGATCGGAAACGTGAACCGAGAACCCAAGATCTTCGCCCTAGGAGACCCCCAGAATTCCGCAAGAGGCCCCCAAGAAGCCCCAAAGCGGCCCAAAAGAGCTTCAAAAGAGGCCCGAGGGCACTTGAAAAAAGGGGATTCCAAAGTTCCCCTTTCTGTCTTCAATTCGCCTGGCAGCCTGGCTACGCTTGCAATAAGCAAGGGAACTTCATATTTCCCTCCTCCTGCTCATCCTCCTCTGCGGCCTCCTCCACATTCTCCTCCTCCTCCTCCTCCTCCTCCTCCTCCTCCTTCTCCCCCAGGGAGCCCCCTCACCTCCCCTTCTCCCTTTTCCTCCGGCTACGTCCAGCCGCGGCGAATAAGCAGGGCCCCCGGAGTGCGCCTTGGCCGTGTCTCGGGGCGCCGCGGCTGGACCGGAGGAAGTGCTTGGAGGCCCTGTGGGCCGTCGTCGTGGAACTCGGGGGAGCCCCGGAGCACAGGTACCACAGAATGGGTTGGGCGTTGCGTAATGGAGGGGTCATAAATAGGGGGGCGGCGAGGGTGGTCCGCAAAGGTACCCAAACGGTACCTACACGAGCCCCCTGGGGCTCTGGAGGGGCCCGAAAGGGGCACGAAAGGGGACCTTTTCTGACCCCCCCATTTGTGACCCCCCCATTAAGCCACGCCCGAGTGGGGGTCCCCAGGAGGTCGACCATCCTGCCTGCAGCTGGACCTCGAGCGCGCGCGGAGAGCGCGCGATGGTTCTAGTGTGAATGTGTGTATATGTGTATGTGTATGTATATGTGTATGTGTATGTATATGTATAAGTATAAGTATATGTATAAGTATATGTATATGTATATGTATCGGTGTAGATATATGTATTTGTATATGTATATGTATATGTGTATGTATGTATGTATGTATGTATGTATGTATGTATGTATGTATGTATGTATGTATGTATGTATGTATGTATGTATGTATGTATGTATGTATGTATGTATGTATGTATGTATGTATGTATGTATGTATGTATGTATGTATTATATATATATATATATATATATATATATATTATATATATATTTATATATTATATACACACACCGCCCACCGGCGGGGCCGCCCACTACGGGCCCAGGAGCCGTGTGCACACCCTGCGGGCCAAGGCAGGAGGGCGTGGCGTGTGCACCGCTGCTGGGTTCCGGGTGGACCTGGCCAGGGAGCAGTGGCCACGCACCCAGACACGATCGCGCCGCAAGGCATCCAGGACGGAGGTGCTTCGCCATCTTCGGCCTCTGGGGGCCCTCTCCGTGCCCCGGGACTGTCAAGAAACGACTCTATCGGGAGCTTTGAGACGGGGGTCAATGCAGACGGGGGTCAGCCAGGGCGCCGGATCCTGCGGGATCCTGCGAAGGCCCCCTCTGGTTGACCCGGGTCGGGGAGCCGCTCGTGGCCGCGGGGCGGCCGCGACTGTTGGCTGACCCGGGTTTGCGAAGCCATGCGCTGCAGTTTTTTTTCCTGCATCGCAGTTTTTGGTTTCTTGCTGACCCGGGTCTGGATTGATCCGGGTCAGAAGATCCCCAACTCGATCAGGCTGAAAAGCGGGTCCTGGGGAAGGGGTCGGGACTTCTCGGGACGGCGGATTGGCAGAGATCAGGGCGTCGCGTGTCTGGGTATGGGTCGAAAAGGAGCGGCGGCGAGCGAGAGGGGGGAGTGAGAAGGAGAAGGACTTCTCAGAATGCGGCGGGGCTTCTCAGAGGACATCGCGCCTTGGAGAGGTTTTCTGTGTCCTGGGGGAGGGCTCAGAGAACTTCTCAGAAAGCCGGGGGGTCTTTCCGAGCCTTCTGAGAAGGCCCGCCCTTGCTCACTTCGCCCCTGGGCTCGTTGCCGAAAGGAGGGTGTGTCGAGCTGGTGGAGACGGGTCAATGCAAACGGGGGTCCGCCAGAGCGCTGGATCTTGCAGGATCCTGCCAGGCCAGGGTTGCATTGGCCCGGGCTAGCGCGCATGTTCCCCGGGATTTTTCAGGATCCTGCAAAAAACTGACCCGGGTTTGCATTGATCCGGATCAGTCGAAGTTTGGGGGAGGTTGGGGATGCACCCCCAGGGGGGCTCAGTATTATTCGGACGCACCCGTGTCGAGGATGAGCGCCCCGCATCGTGTATCCCCGAGTTGGCCTTCAATGTGTTGTCCAGTCGAGAGTCCCACAGAGTCGGGGATCGGGGTCGCCCTTCCACGGGGGCGGGCTGGGGCTTCGGGGGGTTGGCACCGGCGCCGCGAGGACTTCGACATGACCCGCGCCAACCCGTCTGGCCTCTTCGGCGCGGGGGCGCTCCTGCGGGGGTGGTGGGGGGTGCTTCTCGAGCTCCTCTCTCTCCTACACCTTAGGCGATGCTTAAGAAAACCTAAGTTTTCGGCCAGAGTCTCGATTATTCTTAATGTTTCACTGTAAATCCTAAGATTTGAATGGACATTCTGGGTTTTTATTTGAATTCTGAGACTCTCAATTTCTTAACCCATGATTTCTAAAGCATTTCGCAGGGTGTACTCTTCCTCGTCGAGCTCCTCCTCCCTGATGCCCGCCAAACTTTCGGGGAGGGTAGCTGGAACCAACGTCCTCAGCTACAATACGCAAGGCTTGCAAGGCGGGCCAAATTTGAGGCCGCCCTCATCGCCCAGGATCGGCCCAGGGGTGAGCGTTCTCCACATTGTCGGCCATTGAGCCGTGCTCACTGCATGGGTTGATCAGGCTCGTCGAATTCCAGTCGAATCCCCCATCCAGCGCGGTCCTGGGGGCTGGGTGCCAGCAAGAGAACACACGTCCCAGTGGGCGATGATCGAGGACTGCCCTGTCCGGGCCTCCGGACAAGGTCTCCTTGGGGCGCTCGAGGGGTCGGTGGGGGGCAGAAAGAAATCAACCGTCAAATCGAGGGTCCAGGACTAGGGGCTCCCCGATACTTGATGTGATCTTCTGGGCCTCCAGCTCAAAGGGCTAACACATTTTGGAATTGTCCTTGCTCAGGCCCCACGGAGGCCCTTCCCGCGCGGCCTCCGTGGGGACTTCTGGAGACCTTTCTGGGGAAACCCGGAGGAAGCAGATCCAGGCGTCGTGAAATTCATTCGGGCGGGTTGTCATGAGGAGCGGCCTAAATGGAGGTGAAGAAAAGGGCCCGGTATGGCCCATTTTGAAGCCAGCAGGTGCCCTAAAGGGTCCCGTTGGGGCCATTTTGTTACCCCCCCATTTAGGTCACCCTTATTACGACACGCCCGATTATTTAGGTCCTAGGTTTGCCGAACTATTCGTATTGTTCGAGTCATCCTGAGAACACGTAACTCGGGCTGTAGGAGAGCTACAGAGCTCGTATAGAAGGCAATCCAACAGGGCGCTGCTGCCTGGCGGCGGGCCGACCCAGCTCGAGAAATGGGGCAGAGAGATCTTGTCAAGAGTCCCAGCGTGGGAAAGCACGGAGGAAGGTTTGTGAGCATCTTCGGCGGCAAGACAATCTGTCAGAAGACTACTCGGACTCTAGAACTTGCCACGTGAATGGGAATAGATACCTCAGAGGGTCCGAGTAAAGGACCACGACGTCGGGTGTTGTGATCAGGTCGTTCTCGCTTCGAGACGCCTAACGGAAGCGTCGCGAGCAATTCAGTACTTGTTGTACCTTACAACGTTGCAGTCACCGTTCCGACGGACTGTCGGGTCGGCAGCGTTTGAAAGTCATAACCTCATCATACGTATAATGCTGGCAACACCGCCAGTCAACAGATGCCCCTTCCGACAAGGGTTGGGGTCTGGGCACTGGCCCTGCCGCCCCTCGTCCATGTTTTCATCCGCCATCTCCGCATCGTCTTTATGTTCTCGTTCCAGTCACAGCTTCCACTGACAAGGCGTGGCCTTGAACGATCGGCCGACGGATAGCACACCTTGGGAACTGAGCGGCACGCGTTTTGCCTCCTTGTCAAAGGGCTCGAGCGGATGTTTCTGAACATGATGTATGAGGTTCGGGAGCATTCAGTGTTCCAGCGTGCTCAATGGATTGCCAGGCGCTGCAGGCAGGTGGCAACATCTCTTACATGTTCGTCTGATGGCCAAAGGCCGTAGGTTGTTTGGCCCGAAGTGCTTCAAGCAAGCGAGCCTGAGCCCACTCATAATGTCGAGTGGGGAAGCGTTTTGTTGCGTAATGAGCTACCCGATGTTGAACCAATCGCGCTAGAAACATTGTCGGCGCAGTATCAGCATTCCGAGCAACTTTATTGTCGCTGCGATTGCTGGCAGCATCACCACCGTCGTCACCCTCGTCACTATCATCATCCCAGCCCAGGTGTATTTCGCCGAGTCGGTGAGCAAGTCGGACGAGTATGTGCGCGGTGGGATGATAGGAACCGCCCCTATCTTGCCTCCGCATCACCCTCCTTCATTTCCTACGCCTCCTCATCATCGTCCTTGTCCTCATTCGCAGCATCCGCATTCTCCCTTTTCGTCCTCCCCCCTCTTCTCCCCTCATTTCTTCCTCTCCTCACCTCGTCCTCCTTCCCCCTCGTCTACCGTCATTCCCCATCTCTCTCATTCCCTGATCTCATGTCTTCTTCCTCCCTCCCGGGCCTTCTCATCAACATCATCCTCATTTTCTTGTCGTCATCTTCATGGATTTCCCCCTCCGATCTGTCTTACACCATACCAGTGTACGTGCCTGAAGTGGGCTCCCGCGGTGATGATTACTATTGTTGTTGCTCGACGTTGTTGTGAGACCCCCATTCCTGAAGAAGAATGAATGTTGACCCCCGCCCCCGACCCGGTGCCCATTGCCCATTGCATTTTTAAATGAAATGCCTCCGTTGGGTTGCTGGCGTTGGCTTGTTGGCCCCTGGGCTACAACAACAATGGTTCCCACCTCAGACGTCTTCACAATTCATTGAGAAACCGCGCTTTCGCTCAAGACCTCCGAGCAATTCACTCAGGGGATGCGCTCTCGCTCGGGACCTTGTAACCTATTCAGTTGCCGCGCCGTTCATGCAACGCACTGGAATCGCGCTCTCGCACGAGACCCCCTAAATTTATTCAGGTCTTGTGCTCTCGCCTGCGACGCCTTGCGGAGTTCGCTTCAGTGCCCCGCCCTACCCGCCTTTTAGGGCCCTCCCCCCCTGCTCTTCTCGCCTCCCCCTCCTGCTGAAAATTTGTTCGTCCTCAAAGCTCCTTCATTCATCTTGCCCCCCATCCCTTCTCGTGCCCTGGTGCTTTCCTCGCTCTCTCCCTGGTCATCTTCTCCCTCGTCTTCGAATTCTGGGCCGCACCAACTGCACGTGGCATGCAGTGAAGATGCCCAGCTGCCCGTGGCAAGTCCCGCCACCGTGCAAGACGAGCACTCTAGGTGCCGACTGCTCGGGGGGCACGGGAGGCCGTCACGCGTGCCATCTCGTATTTCCAGGCTCGGGAGAGCCGTGGTAAGGCTGATGGCGGTCATGAAGGTGATGGGGTGGTGACGACGATGACGGTAATGTGAGTGGTGATGTTGTTGATGATGATTGTGATGTTGACGGTGATGGTGATGGTGGTGATGGTGATGGTGATGGTGATGGTGTTTATGTTTGGGCTGATGGTGATGAAATATGAGGATCGATGGTGATATATGATGGTGATGGTGGTGATGTTTATGGTGATGATGACGGTGATGGTGATGGTGTTGATGATGTTGATAACGATGGCGATGATGGTGATGCTGATGATGATGATATTGGTGATGGTTATGATGGTCATGCTGATATTGATGATGGTGAGGATGATGTTGATGCGAATGTTGATGTTGATGATGGTGGTGGTGATGTTGCTGCTGCTGGTGATGGAGCTGTTGACGGTGATGTACGATGATCGGTGGTGATGATGATGAGGCGGATGAGTATGATGATGGTGTTGAAGATGTTGATTGTGGTGATGAGTATGATGACAACGATGAAGATGGTGATATCGTTGGCGATGCTGGTGATGTTGATTATATTGATGACAATGATTATGATCATGTTGAGTATCATGATGGTGATGCTGATGATAGAGGCTCGGATGGGGGAGGAGTATGAGGGTCGTGATGATGACGACGACGATCATGCTGTTGATGATGATGATGAAGAAGAAAAAGGCGATGATGATGTTGATGATGATGAGGATGCTAATGATGATGATGCTGATGATGATGATGATGATGATGATGATGATGATGATGGTGATGGTGATGATGATGATGAGGATCGGGACGCATATTCATAGTGTTCATGTGGGGTCGTGGACTGGTGCACTTGGGAGCAGCGTCTGGAAATGCGGGACGCGCACGATCCTCGAGCGGGGTGCGCTTGGTATGAGGGGTCTAGGAGGTAGCAGCCATGCGGGAAGTGCGAAATCCTCGAGCGGGCGCGCATGGAATGAGGGTTTAGGCATCAGCTGCCTTGCGGGAAGTGCACTATCCTCGGGCGGACCCGCGTGGAATGGGTGATGAGGCATTGGCTGACATGCTGGAAGTGCACCATCCTCGGGCGGGCACGGGGGACGTGGCCTCGGAAAGGAAGGGCCGTGCATGCGGCAGTCTGCGGGTAGAGGGAGGGGGGGGGGTCCTTCTTAGAATTCGAAAACCATACCAGGTAGATCCTGGCACTCTTGCACGCCTCGACGTTCCAGGGGGGCACGGTGGCGGATGCCCCCCCAAAGGGGGTACGATCGATGGCGAGGACGTGTATCGAGGGTAGGGTGTGGGGTAGACATGTTGAAAGACGCGCGATCAACGAAGAGTGAGCAGTCTTTTTGCTGCTCGTTGCCTGTGGACTTCTCGAGAGCAGGCAGCGTTGACGTCCGAGGACCGACGGGGCGCCCTCGCTCGAGTGCGGGCTACGATGTCTTTGGAAGCGAGGCTCACGCTCGAGCGAGAGCGCCCCGTCAAATCTCCAAATCTTTCCCAGGAGGAGGGAATGGAGGAGGAGGAGGAGGAGGAGGAGGGAATGGAGGAGGAGGAGGAGGAGGAGGAGGGAATGGAGGAGGGAATGGAGGGCGGGTTTCCTTCCAAATCTTAGCTGCTGCTCCCCGACCTACAGCAACGGCTACGGCCTGCGGCTTTCTCGCAATGAGTTTCGAACCCCCGCTTCCGCCCGAGACTTCCTTGACTTTGCGCAGGGATCGGGCTCCGCCCGCTCGGGTCCGCCCGCGGGGATGCGCCCGCGCGACGCGCCCGTTTTTCCCCCTGTCAGGGTTTACCCAGAGGTGGTGCGTTCAGAGATATAGAGGTCGGGTGCAAGATCAACTCATGGACGTCAACTCGGCAGCTTGGATCAGATGGTCATGAAGTGAACATTGAATTCTCACTTGGAATAATATCTATTGTTGTCCCCCCCTGTGCCAATTCCGTTTTTCTTGATTTGAATAACCTTTCTGGTGCTCGCAGTTGTTTTTCACCCAGGGGGTTGCTTGGGTCTCCGGATTAGGCTTCTGACAACAAAAACGGCTTCCGCTTGATATTGCCCCACAGTTGATTGACGAGTCGAGCTCTCGCTCGGGACTTCTTTGGAATTTTCTAGGCATCGTGCTCTCGCGTGGAACTTCCTCGCAATGGATTCAAACGCCGCCCCCCCGACGCTCAGGAGTGACGCTCTCGCTTTTGACACCCTGACGATTCACCCGGAATTCTCACAATCTACAGACTTCTTCGAGCTCCATGCAGGACTGACGCTTCAACGACGCGCCCGCTCGACCCGGTCGCCTGGGCCCGCCCGCGCGACCCGCCCTTATTTTGGGTTCCGCCCGCCCGTCCCGCCCGTCTTGTTCTGCCGCTTGTTTTCGTGCTGTGAACCCCCCTCGGCGCGATCTTGGGGCCCTCTTGGCCCGTCTCGGGCCGTCGGAAGGCCAAAAAGAAGCGCGGGAGAAGATCAAAACAAACATAAAGGAAGGAACATCCTTACGTTTGGCCTCTTCGGGCTCTCCTGGAGGACCTCGTGGAGGCCTCTTGAGCCGTCTTGGAGGCCTTTGGGGAGCCTCTTGGGCCGTCTTGGAGGCTTCTTGGCCGGACTTGGAGTTATCTTGGACCCCCTTGGGCCGTTTGGAAAGCCATTTAGGACCATCTTGGGCGAGCTTGGAGGCAATTTTGGTTGTTGGAGGCCATCTTGGATCCATGTGGAGCGACAAACTCTTTGCCAACTCGTTCCAGGAAAGCGTTCTGGGTGGCCGGCGCGCTGTGCCGAAGCCCCATGGGGGGAGTTAAGAAAATAATCAAGCACCATTTGAAGTCCAGCACGCCAGGCACCCCTGTGGCAAGACCACAGGGCGCGGCGGATCGAAGCCGCCTACGGCGAATCACCGCCGCCGCCCGCCTTCTGGAATCGCCGAGGTGGCCGAGCGTTGTGGCAGAAGCTCTGCCAAGGTATCAGGCCCAACCGTTGTAGAAGCCCGTCGGGGAACACTCGGGGGAGGATGGCGGGGAAGATCAAGAGGAGTCGGAGGAGGAGGAGATGAAGGAGGAGGAGGAGGAGGAGGAGGAGGAGGAGGAGGAGGAGGAGGAGGAGGAGGGGGAGGGGGCATCTTGGGAGCCTCTGGGGACACTCTAGGGGCCTCCTGGGAGCTTCCTGGGAGCCTCTTGGACCTGGGGGCTTCTCGGGGGCCTCTCTGGCCGTCTTGGTGGGCTCTTGGGTTGTCTGACGCCGTCGGAAGCCGTCTTGGGGGCCTCTCTGGGCCGACTTGGCGCTGTCTTGGGGTGCTCCAGGGCCGTCTTGGAGGCCATCTTGAGCGTCTTGGTGGCTTCTTGGGCCGTCTTGGGGGCCTCTTGGGGCCGTCTTGGGGGCCTCTTGGGCCGTTCTGGGGCCATACTGGAGACCTCTTCGGCGATCTTTGGGGGCTCTTGGGCCGTCTCGGGCCGTCGGAAGGCCGAAAAGAAGCAAATGCTACAATCACTCAAAAACATTAGGAACATCAATGTTTTTGGCCACTTCTGGCCTTCCTGGAGGCCCGCTTGGAGGCCTCGTAGGCCGTCTTGGGCCAGCTTCGAGCCAACTTCTGACATCTTGGTGGGCTCCTGGCCCGTCGGACGCCGTCGGAAGCCGTTTGGGGGGCATCTCTGGGCCGATTTGAGGCCCTCTTGGGGTGTTCCAGGACCGTCTTGGAGGCCATCTTGGGCGTCTTGGAGGCCTCTTGGGTCGTCTTTGTGCCCTCTTGGGACCGCCTTGGGGGCCTCTTGGGCAGTCCTGAGGCCATCTCGGAGGCCCCTTGGACGATCTTGGGCGATATTTGAGGGCTCTTGGGCCGTCTCGGGCCGTCGGAAGGCCGAAAAGAAGCAAATGCTACAATCCTTCGAACACCTAAGGAAAATCAATGCTTTTGGCCACTTCGGGCCCTCCTGGAGGCCCGCTTGGAGGCCTCGTGGGCCGTCCTGGGCCTGCTTCGAGCCACTTCGGCCATCTTGGTGGGCTCCTGGCCCGTCGGACGCCGTTTGGGGGGGCCTCTCTGGACCGACTTGGGGCCCTCTTGGGGTGCTCCAGGGCCGTCTTGGAGGCCATCTTGGGCGCCTTGGAGGCCTCGTGGGTCGTCTTTGTGCCCTCTTGGGTCCGTCTTGGGGGACCCTTGGGCAGTTCTGAGGCCATCTTGGAGGCCTCTTGAGCCGTCTTGGGTCGTCGGGAAGCCGAAAAGGAGCAATAGGAAACAAATGTGAAAACCTTATCAAAATCACTGATGTTCGCCTCTTCGGGCCCTCCTGGAGGACCTCTCGGAGGCCTCTTGGGCCATCTTGGAGGGCTCTTGGGCACCTCTTGGGCCGTCTTATAGGCCGTCTTGGAGGTTTCTTGGGCGGACTTGGAGGCATCTCCTCCTCTCTTAGGCCGTCTTGGAGGCCATCTTGGCCGTCTTGGACGCCATCTTGGTGAGATCTGGAGCAGGACAAACCTTTTGCAACCGGGTCTGGGCAAGTTTTTCGGGTGGCCGGCGGGACGCGCCGAAGCCCCACGGGGAGTTCTTTTGGAAAAAGAACCAAAACCACAACCGAGAGGGTCCAGCGCGCCAGGCACCCCTGTGATGAATCAACAGTGGGCGGCGGATCTATTAGCCTTCGGCCTATTCCACCACCGTGCCAGGTTGTAGGTCAGAGGCCTCTTGGATGCCTGTGGTAATCTCTTGGGAGGCCTCCCGGAAGTCTCTGGGGCCGTCTTTCGGCATCTTGTGGGCTTCTTGGGGCTTCTGGGGAGCCTCTCGGAAGGCTGCTGGCTGTCAGGGGGGTCATCTCGGGGCGGAGGGCTCAAAATGTCGGTTCGTGCTCACATCTTGGTGCGGTCTTGGGGGTCCTTTGGAGCGGTCTTGGGAGCTTTTAAGGCCGTCTTGGAGCGTCGGGAGTCAGAAACGACAGGAACGCTAAGAACTTCCAAACATCCAAAATCTACATGAATGATTTTGGCCTCTTGTGGCCGTCTTGGGCGGACTTTCTGGGCTGTGGTGGTCTATTGGGCCGTCTCGAGGCGATCTTGGGCATCTTGGAGTGCTGGGCCGATTGGGAGCCATGTGGGACCGTCGTCGAGGCCTCTTGGCCATCATTGGGGCCCTCTTCGCTCCGACAAGTCACGTGGGGACACCGAAACATCCCCAGTACATTTTGAATTGTCGGGTCCGCACCCGTAAGATCCAGTTACTCAGGACGGAGGACGGACAATTTCAGGGACCTGAGGACGCTCCAACCCGTGAGGCACGGCATGGTGGCGGATGTTTCATAGAAGCAGACGAGAGAGAGAGAGAGAGAAAGAGAGAAACAACAAAACGATACAGCAACAAAAACAATCAATGCCTTATGACGTACACAACCCACTAGCATCAAGTGGCAAGAGGAGTTGGCGCATATTAGTATGGCTGGTGGCAACACAGGAATCACACTTTGTTGTGGAAACTAGTTTGGATGTGCGCACGTTGCACGACTCACAGGACAGTAAGGCAAGGACGAGCACTGGGGCACAGGGCTCGAAGATGAACTGGACGCGAGAGCGAGGGCAGGAGAAGAACGAGGAGACGGTGAAAGGAGGGAGAGGACGACAACGACAGAGGCAGGATGGGAAAGGGAGGGTGGCATGTATTTTTCAGCTGCAGGCTGGACTCGCGGAGCGGCCCGCGCCATGTTGCCGTGGCGCTCCAGAGCGACGGCGGCGCCTCATCCGCTGCGAGCTTCGAATGCCATGAGCCCAGAGGTTGCTCTTTTTCCTCCTGCTCCTCCTCCTCCTCCTCCCCCTCCTCCCCCTCCTCCTCCTCCTCCTCCTCCTCCTCCTCCTCCTCCTCCTCCTGGACCTCCAGTTCGCAGCCCCCCAGCGACGGCGAGGCCCCATCTGATCCGAATAGGATGTCGCTCCGCTGGACGCCCCAGGAGCCCACGACGGTGGCGACAGCCTCGCAGTTCGCACCAAGGAACGCACGGAAGTGGTGACGAATTCTCCGCTCGCAGACCCCCAGGCGACGGCGAGGTCTCGTCTGATCTAAATAGGACCTCGCTCCGCTTGACCTCCGTTGCGACAGTTTCGTATTTCGCAGCAGCCTGCGAGCCTTCAGGTAGGTCGGCTTGGCAAGAGGTAAGATGCAAGCATGAGGGAGATGGAAGGGAGGAGAAGGGAGGTGAGAAGGAAGGAGTAGCGACAGTGGTGCTATAGTCAAAACGAGCACCCAATGCAGATAATCAATGGGACCAAGGTATAGGTACAGAGCAAGGGACAGAGACTGAACAGAAAACGAACGAGACTGAGCGAGTGTGAGGCAGAGAGAGAGAGAGAGACACACACACACACACATTCAGACAGAGAGTGTGTGTGTGTGTATGTATGTATGTGTGTGTGTGTCTGTGTGTGTCTGTGTGTGTGCTTTCCGCCCCTCCCTGCCCGCGCCTCGTAGGCCCACAGGTCTCGGCGCTATGGCTCATCCTTGGACCACGTCTTGGTCCACTGGGCACCGCCCCCTTTGGCTTCCCCTCCCCTTTCTGTGCCGCTCGGCACCAGCTTCAGCCATGTCCAGCTCAGTGCCGACCAGTACCGGCTCTTGTGCCTGCATGCAGCGCGGCGCCTGCAGCTGGGGCTCATCCCTCTCGGCCATCGCCTTCCGTCTCCTCGCACGCGCCTCGCAGGCCCGCAGGTCTTGGCGAATTGGCTCATCCCTGGAGTGTGCTCGGTCCACTGGAATGGGCTCTGCTTCGATTTATCTTCACCGCCGGGTGCAGCTCCAGGCCGCCCCCTCCAGCTTCAGCTCAGTGCAGCATGTGCCGGCGCTAATCCCCCTCTCGGCGCCCCCCCCCCGCCGCAGCCGGCAGCTCCGAGTGGCCCGGCTTCCTTTCTTCCCATCGCGCCCAGGGTCCTCCTCCGTCCGTGCATTGCGGCCTTAATTTGCATACAGCGTGTCCCTTGTTGCCAATCCGCCTGAGCAGTCGCCCTCTGCCCAGCCGCCGACGCAAGATGTGTGTGTGTGTGTGTGTGTGTTTGCGTGTGCGTACGCGTGTGCGAGTGCGAGTGCGTGTGCGTGTGCGTACGCGTGTGCGTGTGCGTGTGCGTGTGCGTTTCCGTTTGCGTGTGTGCGTGTGTGTGGTGTTTGCGCCAGTGTGTGTGCGTGTGTGTGAGAGAGTGTGTGTGTGTGCGTGTGCGTGTGCGTGTGTGTGTGTGTGCGTGTGCGCGTGCGCGTGCGTGTGCGAGTTCGTGTGCGTATGCGTGTGCGTGTGCGTGTGCGTGTGGGTGTGTGCGTGTGTATATGTGTGTGTGTGTGTTTGTGTGCGTGCGTGCGTGCGTGCGAGCGTGCGTGCGTGCCCGTGCGCGTGTGCGTGTGTGTATGTGTGTATGGTTGTGTGTGTGTGTGGGGGGGGGGAGGGTGTGTTTGTGTTTGTGTGTGTGTCGTTGCCCTCCCTGCTCGCCTTCGCTTAGATTTCATGGATATCTGTGGCCGCGTTTCAAGGCGTGTCTCCCCCACCACCACGCTTACCCGCAGGAGGCAGGGAGGTGTTTCCCCTGCTGCTTTGCCGCGTGTGCCTGGGCTACGTGTACTACTGCGGCTGGCTGGACCAATCGGGATGACAGGATGAGGAGGAGGCGGAGGAGGACGAAGACGACGACAAGGACGAGGACGAGGTTGAGGCGGATTATTTTGCAAGTGTGTGAACCGCTTTGGCCCTCAGAGGGGCTTTCGGCCCGCTCTTGGGGCGCCCAGAGACCTTGGGAGATTTTCGTAGAGAACTCGGAGGAGAAGAGAGCAGGCTGAAGGGAGCTACAACCATGGAGTGGGAGTGGCATGAGTGGTGGTCGGGGGCCCGAGGAGCTCGAGGAGGAGGAGGAGGAGAGGGGCAAAAAAGAAGCATAATGATGAAGAGCAGACGGAGACGGAGGCGTACAAGCAGCAGAGAGCCAGTGGCAGTAGGATTGGTAGTACGAGCCAGAGCGGGAGTGGGGTAGGGGTCAAACCAGCCAGCTTGAACGAGCCAGCGGGCCTTGCCCACTCCCACGATCCCTCCCGCGACATACGAATCGATACCGGCACAACTGAAAACTGAGATTTGCGCCTGCTCCCGACGAGCGAACGGAAGGCGCTCGCGCGCGCAACCCGCGCTTCGGGCGTTTTCGGCGATCGAGACCTATGCGCCGAACGCACCTTTCGACAACGAAGTGTGCGGCGTTTGGGCGAGAGCGAAGTTTCGTTTTCCCGCGCGCGAGCCTGATTGCTACACCGTAGCTAGCGGGTTGAGAAAAACACAAGCGACGTTTTGGATATTTGTATGCAACATAAGCAAGTACGCCCTCCACACCACGGGCCCGCCCGCCTCGGGAACATCGGGCCCTCTTTTTGTACCCCCCCTGGGGTCTCCCAGGTGGCCCAGGCAGGGTTTTCAAGACAGCCCAAGAGGCCTCCAACACGGGCCAATATGGCCCCGAGATGGCTAGCAAGTGCTCGGACACGGCCAAGATGACGTCAAGTAGGCCCAAGAAAGCTCCCCACAGGGCCCCAAGACGGCCCCAAAGAGAGCCACGAAAGGTCATAGCCAGTGAGTTCCCCTAGGATTTGGAAGGAGTTTATGGCTTCTGCCGCTTCGAGCCAAGAACGGCTGAAGGCCGCTCTGGGAGCCTCGTCCCAACACGGCCCAAGAGGCTTCTTTAAGGTCCCCAAGACAGCCCGCAGAGGGCCCAGGAGAGCTCCAAGACGTCCCCCCGAGAAAAAAATCATGAGGAGTATAGGAGGCTTTGAACATGACCCTGTGGAGCTTCAACAGGTCCCCAAAGCGGCCCAAGACTCCCATGACGGCTGGCGAAGGCCCCAGGAAGTCCCAAGAGGGCCCCACGATCGCCCAGAAGCAACAAGGGCCCCAAGGGGACACCAAACACAGCGCACATAGATTCATGTTCGGACCCTTTGATCTCATATCACGTTGAGTGTGCGAGAGAGAGAGAGAGTGTGTGTGTGTGTGCGTGGGTGTGCGAGAGAGAGAGAGAGAGAGAAAGAAAGAAAGAGAGTGCGTGTGTGTGTGTGTGCCTGTGTGTGTGTTTGTGTGTGCGCGCGTGTGCTGACGAAAACTGCGCGCACGCCCTCCTCCCCTCAACAGGATTGTTGGGTGTGGGATGCGTTGGTGCGCGCTCGCGTCGTTCGTGTCCCAGCTTCCTCACCCTGCTTCGGCTGCGCCCGAGAGTGAACTCCCCCGCCCCCACCTCCACACCGCCCCCTTAAAAGAGGGACAGCGATATGCGTCGCACTCCCCTACCTACGGCCAGCTGCAAGCCGTGTCGCTCACTCCCACCCGCTTTCCCGATACATAGGCATCATCCGAGCCTGGGGTTCGAGGTTCGAATCCCCCTGAGTTAATCAGTCCTCTTGGAGACCGAGTACACTTTGTATGGCATTTGGCAGGGGTCGCGCTTGCACGGAGCAGTCAATATGTGGGCCCCCCCCGCCGACACTTGCGTCCAAAACCATTGCAAAATGATTGCGGGGCGCCCGCGCATAAAACAGTGTTTGCCAAATTTGATGTTGCATTGTGTGTTGACTGAGGTGGTGGGTCTGCGCAAAGCAGACTTTTCGCTTTGGCCTTTTTTTACGGGTCAGTCAATCCCCATTGGACGGCAGTGATGTCGCGGTTGCATAATTCGTCTTGCCTCGCGCAGTTGCGGACGAGAGTCACTGGCGTTCTCCAAGGCTGGTGCAGAACAGCCCGCCGCAGAAAGCGATCTTGTAAGCAATGTGGATGCGTCGGGCAGCCGCAGGCGCAGATTTTAGTGAAGCAACGTCGCGGGTGGGTCGACGTGCCCGTGGGTCTCGGCACGACGGCGACAAGACAGCAGTAGTCTCAACGAATTTCCGCACCGCGGAACCCCGCTACGGCCACACACCCAGGGACCCCTCACTCCGACTCAGTTGGTTCACCTTCGGAGTGATCATTGGCTCATCGTGCGTATCCGACGTGCAACTTTAGACGCCCAGAGTGGTGCGTGTGTGAGTTTGTGTGTAGTCGTGTTTGTCTCTGTGTCTGTGTGTCTGTGTGTTTGTTTGCATGTGTTTCTAAGTCTGTCGATCTGTGTGTCTGGTCGACGTTGCCATCGATCTGGTTCACATACTGTTTCTGCCATTGCTGTCACTGCCATCCTCTATTGCTCCTGGGTTTCGTGTTGTCCTTCCTGGTGTTCCTCGTCATACGCATCATACTTCTGTTTATCGTCCCTCCACATCATCCACATCCTGCTCATCCCATCGCTTCGCTCATTCCGCCGACCCCGGAGCGCTATTTGGGGCCTCTTGGGGCCGTCTTGGGGGCTTCTTGGGGACTTCTTGGGGGCTTCTTGGGGCTCCTTGGCGGCGTATTGGGCTCCCCTGGGGCCTCTTGGGGGGCTCTTGGGGGCCCCTTGGGGCGGGAGGGGGGGTAGTCGTTGGCAGCCCCCCCCCCCTCGGAGGCCACGATCCTCGTGAGGGGTGGCGCAAAATAGCCTCCCCCCTGGGGATCGCCCGGGGGTCAGCCGGGGATCGGCCGGGGTACTTTTCGTCCGGGGCCCCCCAGGGGCCGCCCCGCGCGCGCGAACTAGAAATATTGTTCAGTAGTTACCGGAGATCTTAGCACGCCTCTGGCCCGTTGGGCCGGCGACTTATCATTCGACTTCTTCTTTGTCCTCCTCCTCCTCCTCCTCCTCCTCCTCCTCCTACTCATACTCTCTACGGCTTCTGATCCTCCGCCTCCGCTTTTTTCGCTCTGCTCTCCGCACTCCACCTCCGCCTCCCTCCCTCTCCACCCTCCCTCAAGAACCTCAAGAGGTTGGAGCAGGGCCTCATCCCAGGCGCCATGTCCCAGGGCCAGAGCGTCCCACTCGAGGGCCGAGGTGCGGCCCGCTTGGGGAGGCAGGAGTCGTCCAACCTTGCCCCGCCTGCTCCCTCTCCCCCCTGGGCTCACTGGAGCGCTCGGTGCAGAAGCCCTCCCCGCTTCCCTCAGGACTTAGCTGGGCGGCGAGCCCGGGGGGGCAGTGAGAAGGTGCGGGCCCTCTCAGAAGGCTCAGAAGCCTTCCGGCATTCTCAGACATGTTCGAAGCCGTTCCCGAAGATGCAGAAGACTGCTCAGAAGGTGCGAGGCTTCTCAGAACCCCCGCCGCTTTTGAGAAGGCTTTCTCCTTCTCAGTTCCCCCTCTCGCTCGCAACCGACCTCACCGCCCGGTCCACAGCGCGGGGGAGCTCCACGCCGCAACCTTCTCCTCCGGAGCCCCGCTGGCCCCGCAAGCCGCGCCGAGGGGCCCCCCGACGGGCCCGCCCGAGGGCCCCCCCCCCTCCCCCTGGCATCTCTCGGACGTGTGCATTTTTTCTCGGCGAGAACCATCGAGGAGAATCCTTGATCATTTGGCGAAAAAACCACGCACGAAACCGAAAAAAGAACAGGGAATGGACGTCCGAGCGATGCCCGCAGAGCCCGCCCGAGGCGCCCGCCCGAGGGGCGCCGGGGGCCCGCGGGCACCCCGCGCCGCGCGCCGCGCCGCGCCGCCGCGCCGCCCCGGGCGCCCCTCGGCGCCGGCCAGGCGACGAGCGCAGACCGGACAGGCGGCAGCTGGAGGGGAGCCGGGGGCTCGGGCGTTGCGTCATGGTGCCCCCGCGCGGAGGAGGAGGAGGAGGAGAGGAGGAGGAGGGAGGAGGAGAGGAGGAGGAGGAGGAGGAGGAGGAGGAGGAGGAGGAGGAGGAGGAGGAGGGAGGAGGAGGAGGAGGGAGGAGGGAGGAGGGAGGAGGGAGGAGGGAGGAGGGAGGAGGGAGGAGGGAGGAGGAGGGGAGGAGGGAGGAGGGAGGAGGGAGGAGGGAGGAGGGAGGAGGGAGGAGGAGGGAGGAGGAGGAGAGGAGGAGGAGGAGGAAGGAGGAGGAGGAGGAGGAGGAGGAGGAGGAGGAGGAGAGGAGGAGAGAGGAGGAGGAGGAGGAGGAGGAGGAGGAGGAGGAGGAGGAGGAGGGAGGAGGAGGAGGAGGAGGAGGATGAGGAGGAGGAGGAGGAGGAGGAGGAGGAGGAGGAGGAGGAGGAGGAGGAGGAGGAGGAGGAGGAGGAGGAGGAGGAGGAGGAGGAGGAGGAGGAGGAGGAGGAGGAGGAGGAGGAGGAGGAGGAGGAGGAGGAGGAGGAGGAGGAGGAGGAGGAGGAGGAGGAGGAGGAGGAGGAGGAGGAGGAGGAGGAGGAGGAGGAGGAGGAGGAGGAGGAGGAGGGGGAGGAGGAGAGGAGGAGGAGGAGTCAGGAGGAGGAGGAGGAGGAGGAGGAGGAGGAGGAGGAGGAGGAGGAGGAGGAGGAGGAGGAGGAGGAGGAGGAGGAGGAGGAGGAGGAGGAGGAGGAGGAGGAGGAGGAGGAGGAGGAGGAGGAGGAGGAGGAGGAGGAGGAGGAGGAGGAGGGGAGGAGGAGGAGGAGGAGGAGGAGGAGGAGGAGGGGAGGAGGGGGAGGGGAGAGGAGGAGGAGGAGGAGGAGGAGGAGGAGGAGGAGGAGGCGGAGGAGGAGGAGGAGGAGGAGGAGGAGGAGGAGGAGGAGGAGGAGATGGAGGAGGAGGCAGGCACAGACGCAGACGCAGACGCAGACGCTTGAGTCCGCCGGCCGGCGGGCCGGCAGGCCCCTGAAGGGCGGCGCGGGCGGGCCAGAGCCCAGTCACAGGCGTGTGAATTTCAAGAAGTCGCTCTCGAGGTCTGCCCAAAATTTGAAATTGGTAAGTAGCACGCTGCAGCCATGTGCCGTGTGCACATCCAACCAGAGTCTTCTGTAAGAATTCTGTGATGTCGTCACTCCACCGTTTTCGCTGTCCGCCGTCTCGGCGCTGTGCTGTCCGGGGGTCATGGATATCAGGTTCCCATGCCGCTGCCAGTCGGGCCCAGCTGTGTTGCGGCTGTGTGGCAGCTCGCCCCGCCCATCTCTATTTACGCCTGTGATAGATTGTAACCCGTTCCTCCACATGTGCTTGCATTGCAAGGTCTCAGGTGGCGTGGGTAGCCCTGCGAATGAAATTGTCTCAGGATTCAATGTCGGATTCGTCGTCGACGGCGTCAAAGTTCAGATGCTGTCTGACGTCGGACTTGCTGTCGTCGCTTGTGTTGTCGTCATGCTGTTCCGTGTCGGGGTTGGTTGTGTTTTTGGCGGTGCCGGTGTGATGCGGTCTCTGTCGGCGCCTCGAGGTATTGACAATGAGTCGTAGCATGCGTCGTTAGGTGCGTCTGAGTGTCAGGAGCATGTCTTTGGTCTTTGGTGAGAATCCTCGTTGCACAATCGTACGTGACCGTTGGCGTCACCGTCCCGCTGAAGAGCCTGAGTTTGCTGCGGAGGGGGTACCGGCTGCTTGTGAGCTCGTCGCGAAATTGGTTGAATTTGCGCCACCCCATTGCAAGTCTGTTGGTGAGCTCGGCGTGGTGGAAGTCGTGCAACGTCAGCTTGCGACCCAGGTATTTGGTGCTCTCCTCGGCGCTGAGGATTTGACCTTGTTGTCGTCGATGTCCACGTGTGTTAATGTATCGCCACTGCCGCCTGCTAATAGTTGTGAGGATTTTCGTTTTGTCGGGGTGTACTGCAAGTCCGCACTTTGCAGCTTCGTGTTTGAGGTCTCTCAACATACACTTGAGTTGTCGTAGATCGGGTGCTAGGAGCTAGGAGGAGTACGTCATCAGCAAAACTCATGTTAGTCAGGCGCGTCGTCTGTGCACTTCCCAAATGTATGCGAAGCCCTTTCGTGCCCAAATTGGCTTAATGTGCCGGAATGTGTGCTCGAGTAGCGCGTTGAACAACTATGAGTTGAGTGGTTCCCCTTACTTGACGCCGCGCTCGATGTTGATCACTTCTTGTTTCCGCAGGGCTTCCCACAAACACAAGTGGTCGACGCAATCGAACACCTTCTTGAAATCGATAGCAGCTGTCCAGAGTTGGAGATGCCATTCGTAGGACTGCTCGCAAAGTAAGGTTGGAGTGAAGCGGTGGTCCTCTGTGCTTAGGCCCTTGCGGAAGCCAGCTTGGTCAGGTGATTGTTGTGCGTCGAAGAGTGTGTCAAGTCGGTTGCAAAGTCGTCGGGAAATGAGTTTGTATAGTAACGGTATGATTGCGATGGGTATGTTGTTGCTTGGTAGTTGCAAGTCACCGGATTTATAGATGAGGAGGAGCTGGAGGAGGAGGATGAGGAGGAGGGAGGGGAGGAGGGAGGAGGGAAGAGGGAGGAGGGAGGAGGGAGGAGGGAGGAGGGAGGAGGGAGGAGGAGGAGGAGGGAGGAGGGAAAGGAGGGAGGAGGGAGGGAGGAGAGAGGAGACAGGAGAGATGAGGGAGTAGACAGAAGACAGGAGGGAGGGAGGGGCCGCGCCCCAGGGGGGCGGGGGGCGAACGATCCAGGGGGGAAGGGGGTGTTAAGAAAGGTGCACCTCTCATGCCCTGAAGGGGCCCTCTAGGGCCCAAAAGAGGCCCAGAAGGTGCACGCGTCTCCCCCCCCATTGAGCAACGCCCAAGGGGCGGCTCAGGGGAACCGGGGGCTCGGGCGTTGCGTGGGGTAGGTTCGCGTCGTGTCGACCGGCGGCGACCCCACCGCTGGCGTTCAACTTTGAACGCCGCCGGCGACCCAGAATCGGTCGATGTCGAACGATCTGACGTTTCGGAAACGGCCCGCTCGTTCAGGGTTGAACGATCGCCGCGGTGTCAGAGACCAGCGCCGAAGTCGGTACGACGCGAACCTGCTGTAAATGGGGTGGGGGGGCGCTCCATGTATCGGGGGAGCGTAAGACCCGGGCTTGCCAGGACTCGGGTTCGCCATCGTTTTTTGACGACCGCGATTCGGATTTTGACGATTAGGAGTTTCGTGGGATGTCTGCAGCGGGAGGCCTCGTCAAAATGCAGGCTCGGCCTCGTCATTTTTTGACGACCTCGTCGGGTATTTCCGAGTCCCCTGTACCCAGGTCTTACGTCCCCCTGAATGTAGGGGTGGGGTGAAGAAAGGTGCGCCTCTCGTGCCCCGAAGAGGCCCCAGAAGTGCACGTTCCTCTCCCCACCCTTCCCCATCCGCGCCCCCCCCTTCCCCGCACTGAGCAGCGCCTGGGGGGTGGGTCCCGGGCGGGGACGCGGCGGGGGCCTGGCTCGAGTGCCCCCTGCCCAGGAGCACATATTGCCGATCTGTCGGCGGCGCCTTGCCGATTCCGCGTCGACGTTTCCACCTCTCCCCTCTGGGCCGGATAGGGACAGGCGGCTTCGATTGTATTCGTTTCGGCTCGATTCTCCTGCACTGGCTGGGGCCAGCTGGAGCCAGGCGCGACGGTCCGATCTCGATTCGGCTCGGGACGGTTCGCTGGCTACCCGATCGGATCAGATTTCGCAGTTCCATCATCAGGAGGGGAAAAACACACAGAGACAATTAATCGGCGATTCCCCAGAAAATATGGGAAAATATGGGAAGTGGGGGGGAAGACAGAAACCCAGAAAATATGAGAAAATATGGGGACTGGGGTTAATTCGTGTGTATTTATTTGTGTGTCTGTGGACCCCTTCATCGGGACGGTTCGCTGGCTACCCGATCGGATCAGATTTCGCAATTCCATCAGGCCCAGGCCGGAAGGCAGCCAGCCCTTGCTGCCCAGCGGGCTGGCCCCAGCGGGGAGGCTGTGCGAAGCAGGTGGTTCCAGCTAGTCAGGTGGTTCCAGCCAGTTCCTCTCTGCCTATCGGGAAGGTGCGACCTCTCAAGATTGAAACGAATGCGCGCGCTCGTCGCAACTTTTGCCGTTCCGTCACGACACGGACTTACCGCGGTAATGGAGGGAGGATCAAATATCCGATTGTGTTGCGACGTAGCGATCGAACGAAGGGCAGATTTATGTGATTTGGTCGGCCTACATCGGCACAATGTGTTACTACGGTCGGGCCATGCACACGTGATTCGTTTTCTTCGCAACGGGCTCGGTAACACAGATATCCATAGAAATATTGTGCCAGTTGAGAGACAGTTCGCTCCATTATCATATACGCTCTGAGCGGGCTTTCTGGATTGCACTGTCGTGTGCAGGCTTGTGGTCGGGAGCTGGACGTGGCCCGACACTTGTACCAGAAACAGGGTAACATTCATCGACCTAATCTCTGTGTTATCCAGGTAACATTGGTTGACGCCGTTTATGAGGCCCCCGACGAGTTTGGCGAATGTGTTGGCGAACCCGCATCTCCCCCTTCCCTTCCTCCCTCCCCCCCCTCACCCTGACCCCCACCCTCCCAAATCATCGTCCTTTCTACCTTCCCCTTGCTTTCCCAGCCCCTCTTCACTTCTCCCGCCCCCACCACCCGCCTCTGCCCATGTGCCATCACATTCCCCTTCGTCTCTGGCAGTTTCTCTGAGGCGCTTCGTGCATGAGGTTTCGTTCGCAAAGCTGTCAGCTTCCATACTGCATCAAATATCCAAATTGTACAATGGCGAGCCCTCCAAACACGAGTTTGCAGAGTGAAAAAGGCCGTCCTCTCACCGAAGCGGCAAGTTCATTCGGGGCGCCTTTCTTTTCGGCCGCAAGGTTGGACCGATGTGGCAAGTGAGGATGTCTTCGTTTGCGATGGTGTCTGGAAGGGCCTGGGAGGAGAGAAACTGTATCGAGAAGGAGTGGCACAGGCTCGCTTTGCGCAGCATGTATAGTATCTGAGATTGCTTGTCGTTGTTGTTGTATATGTGTGTGTTATTGTGTATGCGTGTATATCTCATCGCCGTGCCTCGTCGTTCAAAGGTGAGAGATTGCCAAGATCGCAAGATTGGGCACGCGTAGTGCTTGAGATGCAGATATGTCCAGTCCGCTGGCACTGCATCAGGAGTATGTGGAATCGGACAAGATCATGTTTGCTTTCGGTTGTTGGTTCTCATGGTGTGCAGAGTTTTGTGCCCAGCCCACGCGCAGGGAGGAATACTACGTCAGTGATGCGGGGGATTTGCATACGGGTGTAAGAAAAGAGTTTGATTTGGCGCGTTTGGTTTGGAAGGTTCTTCCCTTGGATGGATTATGCCATGTGTTCGTGGGCTCCGCATTGTACTTCGCATCGCCAGCGTGCTCGGCGACCGTGTCAAGACGTCCGGCACGTTTCGAGAGTTCATCATCTACGACAGCCTCCAGGCGCCCGCGGCCTCCTTCCTCCGCGGGAGGGCGGGCCGCGGACACCTCGGAGGACGGGGAGTGTTCTCGTCCCCGCCGAATCGCATCAAGCCCTCGCCCCTCCCTGTTCCTGCCCCCGCCCCCGTCATCCTCTCCATACCATGCTTTTCCATGTCTTCTTGTGGAGGCCGTACGGCCTATGCCGCCGACCCGGCAGGACGACGACGACGACCACGGCGACGACCACGATGACAACGATGGTGACAAGCTGATAATCTCGCTACAGGCTCGGGACATGGAGCGGGCGGTGGAGAGGAGGAGGAGGCGGAGGAGGAGGAAGAGGAGGAGGAGGAAGAGGAGGAGGAGGAAGAGGAGGAGGAAGAGGAGGAGGAGGAGGACGAGGACGAGGACGAGGAGGAGGAGGACGAGGACGAGGACGAGGACGATGAGGAGGAGGAGAAGGAGTAGGAGGAGGAGAAAGAAGAAGAAGAAGAAGAAGAAGAGGAGAAGGAGGAGGAGGAGGAGGAGGAGGGGGAGGGGCAGCAGGATGAGGAAGAGGAGAAGGAGGAGGAGGAAAGGCGTAAGGAGGAGGAGGAGGCGGAGGAGGAAGACTTAAGGAGGAGGAGGAGGAGGAGGAGGAGGAGGAGGAGGAGGAGGAGGAGGAGAGCCGTCTGTGATCTCGTGGGTGGGCCTGGGCTGGGACCAGGGCTGGGGCCGGAGCCGAGGCCCAGGCCTGGGCTGGGGCCGAGGCTGGGGCCGGGGACGGGCCCGGCTCGGGGCGGGGGCTGGGGCCCAGCCGGGGGCCAGTGCCCAGGTCGGGGCCGGGGCCAGGGCCGGGGCCAGGGCCGGGGCGGTTGCCGGGGACGTGACCGGGGCCGGGGCCGAGTCCATGTCTAATGTTTCTTCCCTGTTGGTTCCACCTATCACCATCCCGCCCTCCTGATTCCTCTCTCGGTGTCCTCTTCTTTGTCCTGCCCCCCCCTCAGTCCTTTCCCCCCCTCCAGTCCTCGATGGCTTACAGCCGTTGCCCTGATCCCCCCGCCGTCTTCGATGCTTTCACCTCCCCATGCTCCTCCGAAGGGTGCCCAGCCAGACGCCGCCGTGTGCCGCGGCCCCCGTTCCAGCGTCGGGTGCAGAAGCCCAGCACGGAGGGGATGCCCCCTCGTGTTATGGACTCCTTCCTCCCTGCCCTGGCGTTGCTGCTCGTGCAGCAGCGGAGTGCAAGTAGCAATGGGGTACACGATGAATCCGCCAGCTCTCCTTTTGAGAGCACTCGCGCGCCTCTGCGGCGCAGCTGTGACGTGCGCGCGGCAGTCCGCGGGAGCGGTCCGCCAGGGGACGGCGCAGAGCTTGCGGCACCCAGCAGAGAGAAAAAACAATGGACTCCTTCCTCCCTCCAAATGGAAGGTATCCAGGAAACCCGTGCTGTGCCGCACTTCATCATTGCCACGTTGTGGTCCTCCCCCCTCCCCCAGTTCTTGTGCTTCCTCTTAGGTAACGCGCCTGTTGGATGCCAGGCCAGTCCCGTTTGGTGGCCTAACCCAAGGGGGTCTCTAGTTTTGAGGACTACCCTGTTTCTCTCGGCGGGGAACAGACTCGCCCCACCTCCTCATTTTGCTCCTTCTCTCCCCTCGTCCTCCTCCTCCTCCTTCTCCTCCTCCTCCTCCTCCTCCCTGTCCTCCTCGTCTCATTTCTCCTCGTCGTCGGCGCCCGCGTCGCGGGCCACCGATTGTTTTCCCTCTATTGGTGTCCGGCTGGGGAATGCTTGGGGATTCTATAAGTTTACACGCCAGAAAAAGTGTGTGTGTGTGTGTGAGCATCTCCTCGTGAGGATGGCAGTAGGAATCAGTGGTGTTTGTTGTGGTCGTTGGTGCTATCGTGGTTATGATCGCGGTTGTAGTTGCAATGGTAGTTATCGTCGTCGTAGTAGTGGTGGGTATCAATTCATTTTCCCATTCATGCCTGCCGCGCTGGAATGAGTTCTGCTTTCCCCGGCGAACGCTTGTCTCTGCACGACCTTGCACGACGGAGGAAAACTGAACGAGTTTGTAAGATGCTTGCAATATAGATCGACACATTATTTGCCTAAGGTTTTGGTCACAGCCTACGACGTGTAGTCGAAGTCGTAGCCGTAGTCGTAGTCACGTCGTCGTAGGCGGGGAGACCGCGTCCCCGAAGGCCCACCCGCTGAGGCCAGCGAGCGCCTGCATGATGGCGATACCGAGGCGGCACGGCGTCATCATTGCAGCTGAGCCCGACGCTGAATCGAGCCCCCGGCAGCCTTAGTGATCCACCCCGTTTTCGCCGTGACGCGGGGCTGGCTCCACCAGGCCGGCGCGAAGCGCAGATTCTCCCTGAGTTCGAGCCGACGTCCAGCAAAATCACGTTGCGAGCAGGAAGGAGATCGATTACATAATTGATTTACCCCGAATGTGAAGTGATCGCCGAATCCACTTGTGTTGTAGATATGCGAACTTGTTTCACATCATTTGTAGACTTCGTCGAAAAACACTTTCGGAGCACACACTTCTGCCGTCGATCTCCTACTCGCACGTTCGGGGGGGGGGGGGGGGGGCACAGCTGGCGCTTTGGAATGGCACCCTTACGTCCTTCATGTCTGGGCTCTTCATTCTGGGGGTGCGCTTCGATCCGCGGATGCCACCCTGTGGCCGCGGGCCCTCGGCACAGGGGCCCATGTTCCTGGCCCGCGATGCTGTGGCCATGCTCTGACTACCGCGCAGCGGATGGTGCGGATTCGTCACTCGCGCGCCCTGCCAGGCGTTCCCAGCATACATCATCTACTACGCGAGGAAGTACTAGGCCACGGCGCGGAAAAGGGAGAGGAGCGAGAGGAGCGCGTTGCAGGAGGCGGAGGAGGCGGCGGAGGAAGATACGGACTGCGAGGGGGGGATTGGGTCTGCAAGACAGCGAGCGCACGCATCCCACGCCTTCAGAACGAATGCGAAGGGTGGCACGCTCGGGCGGTCGCTCCGGCGGCCCAGATCCAAGCCCCCCACCGCCTGGCTCGCTTGCGTCCCCTGCGCTGAGGGGGGGGGGGGGGGGTAGGGGGAGGGGGGCAGGTTTCTTAGACGCACCCGTGTTTCTTAGAAGGCGTGGGTTTTCTCTGTAGATGTAAGGTTGGCGCCTCCTAAAAAACAGCCTCCTTCTAAGAAGCCTTGTTTCCCTCTCACCCTACCCCGTGGTGCGCGCAACCAATCGATGCTCGCGCGGCCCCTTCAGAGCGTGCAGGCATCGTGCGTCGCATGCTCCGCGGAGGACTGTCAGCAGCTGGTGGGTGGGAGCCTCTCTCCACGATTCGGGGTGGCGCCTCCCTGTGCGACTCCGCGACGCGGGGAGAGGGGAGAGCACGCCGCTGCACGCCTGAGAAGAGGAGGCAGAGCATTCATGACGAGTAGGAGGAGGAAGAGGAGGAGGAGGAGGAGGAGGAGGAGGAGGAGGAGGAGGAGGAGGAGGAGGAGGAGGAGGATGGAAGGGAGGAGGAGGAAGGAGGAGCGGAGGAGGAAGAAAAAGAGGAAGAGGAGGAGGAGGAGGAGGAGGAGGAGGAGGAGGAGGAGGAGCAAGGGAGGGAGGGTGGAGGGGAGGGACCCGCTCGACTCGGCCGTCCGGGCCCTCCCGACCCGCCCCGCCCGACCCGCCCGTCTGGCTCTGCCGCTTGTTCTCCTGTTCCTAACCGCCTTCCTGCTTGTCTCTGTTGCGCCCGGTGCCCCACCCTTCTCTCCCCCCTTTTCGGGAGCGGAAAAGAAGGGGGTGATGACTAGGGGGGGGGATATCATGGCGGGGGCCATGATAGTTCTCCTGATTTCATGGCGCCCTTCTTATTTCATTACGTCCCTGGCCCCCCCGCTGGGCCGCGCACGTACCGCCCGTCATGATTTGCACCCCCCCCTCTTGGACACCCCCCTCTTTGCCGCTCCCGACCCTTGTCCCCTCCCTCCTCCCTTCCCCTGTTGTGGGAAGGCGTGGGGCTGGTGGAGGGTGGGGGGGACAGGAACGCGGACCCAGGAGTCCTGGAGCGCTCCTCGGCGGCCCGAAAGAGGGAGGCTCGAGGCGCGTACCTCCGACGTCGTGACCTTGAAAACGGGCACGAGAGTTCGTCCCTCCACGGGGACCGGCGTGATGTCCTGGCCGCTCCTCCTGCTCCTGCTCCTGCTCCTGCTCCTCCTCATCATCCTCATCAGCATCATCATCATCTGCATCATCATCAGCATCATCATCATCATCAGCAGCAGCATCATTATCATCGTTAGCATCAGCATACTCATTTGCATAATCATCATCCTCATCGTCGTCGTCGTCATCATCATCATCCTCATCGTCGTCATCAGCTTCAATATCACCATCATCATCAACCTCATCATCATCATCATCAACCTCATCATCATCATCATCATCATCATCATCATCATCATCATCAGCAGCAGCAGCAGCAGCAGCGTCAGCATCGGCATCACCTGCATCTCCCTCCTCCCCCATCTCCTCATCCTTCTCCTCCCTCCTCCTCCTCCTCCTTCTCCTCCTTCTCCTCCTCATCCCTCTTTCTCCTCCGCCTCCTCCAGCTCCCCCCCCGTCCTCCTCCTCCTCCTCCTCCTCCTCCTCCTTCTCCTCCTCCCTCAGCCTCCACTCGATCGGTAGCTCCTTTTCCAGTGCCTTGTTTCTCACCTTGGCTGGCCTGCTGCACTGTCTCGGCTCAAGGCCTGATCAGTGCACCGTGCACTTCCCTTAGGGCAAACATCGTTTCCCGTCTTACGTCCTCAAGTTCTGCTCCTCCTCCCTCCTCCCTCGTCCTCATTATCCTCCCTCGTCCTCATCCTTCTCCCTCGTCCTCATCCTCCTCTTCCTCTTCTTCCTTCTCCTCCTCCTCCTCCTCCTCCACCTCCGGCTGCGAGGCCCCGCAGCTCGGAAACGGCCTTAGGGTCCGAACGCTGTTGAGTAAGTGGCGTCTATCACGCTCCACAGCGAGGCAGGCATGGGGAGCAAGAGCTGTAGCGTTGCCGAGCCTCGAGAGGTCCGCAAACCAACATATGTGTCACGAGTTCCACCAGCAGCTCCTGCCAAGAGCGAACAGGATGTGTGGTCTGCCTCGCCGCAGGTTGCCCGTTTGAGCCGAAGATCGCCCCTTCACTCCAGATTTTGTAAGAAAGGGAGGGGGGTCTCATTTCGGGGGGGTCTCTTCCAGGCTATCTTGGAGGGCCTGGGGGGGTCTGGGGACGATGTGTTGGAGGGTTCTCCCACGAGGGGGGGTCTGAAATGGCTTGTCTTGGAGGGTCCAGACCCCCTCCCTTTTATTACGAAATCTGGAGTACCCGTTTGAACCGAAGATCGCCCCTTCAGCAGCGGCTGCCGCTGGCTTCCGTCAGCGCGCTCTGTCGAGGGCGTCCGCGGTTCGGCCGTTTCGGCTGCTTCGCAGTCGGCTGCGCTCGGTTGGCTCGGCTCCGTCGGCTGCCGCTCCTCCGCGGAGGAACTGAAGATGCATGCACCTACGCTCCACACTTGTGCCGACGGCCATCGGTGACCTCTGTTGAAAACCAGCGTTCCCGGATGGGCCCCTTGAGCGTCGAAGGACTTGCCCACGACTGCCCACTCTTGGCCCCCGGCTGCGCTCGCGCAGTCGGCCTCGGGCGGTCTCGCTTCTGCTGCCAGCCCTGGCCAGCTTCTTCGGCCTGGCTGCAACTCCGGGCGCCCTCCCGGCTGCCTCTGGAGCCGCCCCTCGCCGCCCGGTCAAGAGGCTTGGCATCGCGCGGCCGTGTAGCAAATCATAGGAGGCTCGTTCCTTCCGGCGGCGAGCGATGGGGGGACGTGAGAAGAAGGGGGCCTTCTCACAAGGCGGCGGGACCTCTCAGAAGCCCTCGCGCCTTCTGAGAGGCTTTCTGTGTCTTCGGGGCCGCCGAGACTTCGTAGCTCCGTTTCTAGAGTGCGCTGGCGTCAATTAGCGTCTTGCCATCGGTGAGATAGCGCCGATTACGCGTCGACCAGCGTCGCTGAGCGTCGACTGGCTTCGACCTAGCGTCGACCAGCGTCGATCCGCAAGAGCCAACACGACGGTATGGGAGGCTCCCATGGGTTGTCGCACAATTGCTCCCTGGCGAGGACCATGGATGAGCATCTTGGATCATCTCGCGGAAACACAACACGAACCCAAACATATGCAAATGAGATGAACGTCCAAGCGATGGCAAGGATGGGGGTGATGATCGGGGGGATCTCGTGGCGAGGGCATGAGATCTCCCAGATGTCATAGCCTATATTCTTCTTGTTATTCGGACCAACAGTATTGGCATAATCCTGATGAGTATTCGTTTTTTTTATGCGCGTTCTTCTTGTATTCAATATGAACATTATTTATCGTAGTGTTAGTTGTTACCGTGTTCTTCATTTTCATCTTTATCCGTAAGGGCTTCGCCCCATGCCTTGCCCCCTGTCTCGGATAATGGGCGATCCAGAAGCTAAATCATGACGTCTGGGCGCCGCCGTGAAACAGTGTCGGGACCTGTTTGTTTTTCGACCCTGACCCTACGGATCTATGCCACCGAATTGCAAATCTCTTGTGTTTTTGGACGCTGACCCTGCCGATTTGCGTGAGGGGTGCCGCCGGATTTCAGAAATGTAGCAAATCCCTTGCGTTTTTGCCGGAAAGGGCGCCGGCCCAGGGTTCTCTTTAGTTGGTAAACCTGTCCCTGGTGCCTCAACTGAGGTGGGCCGGCGGATTCTTTCCCTGATAAATATCGAAGTCGAGGTGGGCCGGCGGAATTACAATGTGAGAATGTCTCGAGCGAAACGCTTGTTTTTCAGAATTTGTTGAGGATGTCTCGAGCGAAACGCTTGTTTTGTGTTATAGATTGTCATCTCTTGGGGACCTGAATTCAGAGGATCTCTCAAGTGAAATGCTTGTTTTCACGTGCCCAGGTCTTGAGGATGTCTCGAGCGAGACGCTTGGTTTCACGCCTCCAGGTTGCCCAGACAGATGTCTAGCATGAGGATTTGTTGAGTATGTCTCGAACCAGAGGCTTGTTTTCACGTGTCCAGGTCGCCCAGGCGGATGTCTAGCATGAGGATGTGTCGAGAAAGTCTCGATCGAGACGCTTGATTGCAAGTGTCCAGGTTGCCCAGGCGGATGTCCAGCATGAGGATGTGCTGAGAACGTCTTGAGCGAAACGCGTGTTTTCACGTGTCCGGGTCGCCCAGGCACAGCACAGCCCTCGGCACGGTACATCAATATCGATACCCTTAGCATTGCAGCCTGGCATGTTGCCTGGCACGTTCCGCGGAGCGTCCGGTGGCGAGTCCGCCTGGCACGTCGCGCGGTGCACGTCCATTGGCACGTTCCGTAGCGCGTGCCCTTGGCACGTCCCGCGGTGCGTGCCCATGGCACGTCCCCTGGCACGTCGCCTGGCGCGTCCCTTGGGACGTTCCGCGGCGCGTCCTCCTGGCATGTCCCCTCTGTCGATTAGTTCTGGGGCAGCTACTGTGTGCTGAGGCAGCTCGAGGTTAAGATCCAGATCAGTTCGGTCAGGACTCGGATGCAAAGGAGGACTCGATCCACAACGCTATACAGAGCACAATCGCGGCATGGCACATCGTAATTCAGCACGGCCCAGCACATCACAGCCGTCGGCACGGTACATCAAGATCGATACACTCAACATTGCATCTTGGCACGTTCCTTGGCGCGTTCCGTGGCGAGTCCACCTGGCACGTCGCGCGGCGCGTCCCCTGGCACGTCACGCGGCACGTCCATTGGCACGTTCCGTAGCGCGTGCCCTTGGCACGTCCCGCGGTGCGTGCCCATGGCACGTCCCCTGGCACGTCGCCTGGCGCGTCCAGTGGGGCCTTCCGCGGCGCGTCCTCCTGGCATGTCCCCTCTGTCGATTAGTTCTGGGGCAGCTACTGTGTGCTGAGGCAGCTCGAGGTTAAGATCCAGATCAGTTCGGTCAGGACTCGGATGCCAGGGAGGACTCGGTCCACAACGCTATATAGGTACATCGCAGTTCAGCACGGCGCAGCACAGCACAGCCCTCGGCACAGTACAGCAAGATCGATGCATTCAGCATCGCATTTGCCCGTCGCCCAATCAGGTGTCTTTGAAACGTTGCCATGCAATACATTTCTATATTCCTTTCCGGGTTCGTGGGTCGATCATGTTGGACACTGACCCTGCCGATTTGCATGAGGGGTGCCGCCGAATTTCAGAAATGTTGCAAATCCCTTGTGTTTTCGGACCCTGACCCCGCCGATCTGCGTGAGGGGTGCCACCGAATTTCAGACATGTGGCAAATCACATATGTTTTTGGACCTTGACCCCGCCGATCTGCGTGAGGGGTGCCACCGAACTTTAGAAATGTTGCAAAACCAATATATTTTTGCACCCTGACCCCCGCCGATCTGCGTGAGGGTGCCAGCGAATTTCAGAAATGTGGCAAATCCCATGTGTTTATGGACCCTGACCACGCCGATCTGCGTGAGGAGTGTTAATTTTTACCCACACCAGCAATTCAGAGCATACGCTCAGGGCGTGGTAAAAATGCTCGTTTTGGGCCTCCCCCCCTCGCGCGGTCCATCAACAAGGAGCAGTAAGCAGCAAGAAGCAGAAGTGTAACAAGGAACAGTAAGCAGCAAGAAGCAGAACTGTAACAGTGGAAACCGGAAGCTGCAACTGGTACAGGAAACTGCGAACCTTCGTCCTGCAGCCTGGTGGCCCCACAAGGAGACCGGCGGATATCATTATTGTTCGTCTTCTGCTTCTTCTGGTTGTGCGTCACTGCGTCTCCCGCGCCTCTTCGGCCGCGCACATGCCTCGGGCCACGACTTGCGAAGCCCCCTCTTGGACGCACCCCTCCTAGACTCAGGAGGGGAAAGACCACACAGACACAATGAATCGTCGATCCCCCAGGAAATATGGAAAAGTATGGGAATGGGGCGGGAAGACAAGAACCCAGAAGATGTAGGAACGTGTGGGGAGTACTTTGATTTGTGTGTATCTATGTGTGTGTGTGTCCTTGGGACAGGCGCGCCCCCCTCCTCGCCGTCAGGTGTGTGGCCCTGGCCGAGGGGGCGCCGCCGGCCAGGAGCGCGGGAGGCCGCGCGTGCCGCCGAGAGGCCTCCCGGCAAGGCCAAGGTCGGGACGGACGAAAGGGGGGGATTGGGAAAGGGGGGGGTACGAAATTTGCTGCATGCAGCTGGTTTCGGCCCCACCGAGGGGCCCATTCCTCGATACATAGCCGCCTCCGGCGCCGGGAGGCGCCGGGAAAATCAGCTACGTGAGCTGATTCTCAAACCCCCCCTTTGCTATCCCCCCCTGTCGCCCGACCCGACAAGGGGGGGCGCCGGGGGCGCCGGCCGGACAGAGCCGCGGAAGCTGCGGCGGCCACAAGAAA